AAACAGACAGGGTTAAAAAAATATGATCGACCTTTTTCCCCATCACTTTCATTTTTTAAATAGTAATTAATAAGCATTCGATACCATTACAATTTCCTTTGATTTAATTTTAAATAAATATTTAGAGTGCCCAGGTAGCACATAAACAATGCAATTTAACGGTTTACTTGAAGTAGGAACGTTTAACCTGTGCGGCCAGAGCGCTCTCCTTCCTTCTGCTCTGCGTAAACCTGAACTGATCACCTACTGGTGCATAATCAAATGTCAATAGGGGACAAGATATAGCCATGATGTTCACTTTTACCTCAGACCGACTTATTGCTGTTTTATGGTGTGGCTGAATCTGCGATCCGCTGCCACGCGGACAGGAATAACAAATGCTGCAGGTTCGGAGTCACTGGCTGGAGCGGACCCGACTTTAATACGTCATCCCAAAATAGAAGCTAATATCTTAATTTGACCTGGAATGAAAAATGTTATAAAACCTCTTAAAAGTTTTTATCACAGAGGAGGCAGAGCTCATTTCTGCCTTCAGTCTGACGGTATCAGTCTGGCGTGCCGGAGTTTGCGCAGCGTGCACTTATTGAATCTGTGTGTGTGTGTGTGTGTGTGTGTGCGCGCGGCACAGCTCCACGAAGCTTGGTTTATGCTTGACGCATTCACTTTCCGCTTGGTGATGCGTCTCCCGGATGGAACGCGCTTCACAACTTGCAGCGTTTAAGTCACTGTGTCTCGTTAATGGCGCTATTTAAACCAATGTTGTAAAATGACTTCTGCCCAGCCCAGATGTGCTCACTTGTGCACCCGTGAGCCGTGGTTCCGGAACGCGTCTGACCTCTGACAGACGCACTCTAAACTTCAGATCTTCAGCGCGTGTGAGGTTTACAATGTCAGAACACCTGCATGAGACAGGTGTTAATTACAATCTGCCAGAATGACTCACCACCTTCAAATTTCTCCAACACCGTTAAAAATGATCAAATACGGAACATATCGGCGTGTGCAGGCCAGAGTGCTGAAGCTCGGCGCATTGTTATTATGAAGTTAGGGCACATGTGGAGGACACACACACACACACACACACACACACACACAAGTAAAATATACTTGTTTTCAATTACATTTATTGGGCCCGCTTACTTTTTCTTTGGCCCACCCACAAATGAGTTTTCTGGCTATGCTAATGGTGACACCTGACAGACTTCTCTGAGCTCCGCAGCCATTACACTTTTCATCTCGCGCACCCCCTAGCGGCAGCTCGCGCACCCCCGGGGGTGCGCTCACCACACTTTGGGAATCCCTGATTTAGATCAACAAAGGACCAAATATAATACAAATAATATGTAATCATTGTTGTTTTGTTTTTTAAAGAGCAAGTCACCCCCAAATCAACTTTTTTTTCTGATAAACTATATAAATGCGTGTCTAATCATGCTGCAGACACGTGTCGTCAGTAGTTTTGCACTTTAGTGCATTTTGGTTAAAATTTAAAATTTCTGCCTAAAACTGTCAGTGTTGTGCCGTTGTCAGGTAAAAACTCTGCACTGCATTTGAATTTAAATCTGCCATCGCTTATGGATAAGAGGTACCCTAGAACGTTAGCTGGTACCATATGATGTCACAATGTTGTTGTGAGCCTGTGTGTGTGTGTATTTGTTAGCGGCTCCGCCCTCTCGGTCTGCTAGGCAACATCATTTGTTGCATTTTTCAAACAGGAAGTAATACTCTGGTAGGGGTGAAGAGCAAGTCACTCCAAATCAACATTCTTTTTGCTTATAAACTATATAAACGAGTGTCTGATCATGCTGCAGACACGTGTAGTCAGTAATTCAGCACTTTAGTGCATCTTAGTTAAAATTTAAATATTCTGCCTAAAACTGTCAGAGTTGCTCCGTCGTCAGGTAAAAACTCAGCACTGCATTTAAATTTAAATCTGCCGTCGCTATTGGCTAAGAGGTACACTGTGATGTTAGATGGTACATTATGATGTCACAATGTCGTGAGTGTGTGTATTTGTTAGTGGCTCCGCCCTCTCGGTCTGCTAGGCAACAGCATTTGTTGCATTTTTCAAACAGGAAGTGGGAGTGGAGTAAGAATCTGGTAGGGGGTGACTTGCTCTTTAAGGCACAAACTACGCTTTTATTTTTATGTCTTTGTTTTCTTAACAGTAGCAACAAACCGCGCTTGTTGCCAGGACGCAACGGAGTATGGTTCTGTTCCAAATGCCATCCTCGTCCTCGGTGGAACGGACTTTCTGGTGTCCTTGCCATGAACATACTTGTCAAGTACACAAGAACGTACTAGCATACGTGGGTATTGAGAAACGGTCTGGTTTAGGTGTCAAGTTTAGCTCTTCCTTTCCTCTGTGGAAATGAATGAAACCACAGGAAAACGCTAAATTTAGATTCAGGCTGGAGGAATCAAACTACATGCGTGTTTATCCACATCAGCTCCAGGGAATCCGTTCTGTGTCGACTAAAATCACGTGTGTGGCCAAACCGAGTAAGAGCCAAGACTTACACGGATGTCTCAAGTGTGCTTCTAGACCAGGAGTGACAGGCTAACGGCTAGTCTGACTAAAGTCGGTCCCCTTAAGTGGCTACACCTACCAAGATGTCATGATTATGTGTGGGTTCATGGCTAGCACAATCATCTGTTCATTACCAAGAGTTTGCTTTACGACAGTAATCTGAACCCCAAACCAGCACGACTTCAAACCATCGGTGGAGATTCTGCCTCCTATCCGAGTCTTCTGATGCATCAGAGGAAACATTCATCTGAGTCTACAGCTGTAGCCGTTCTGAGTGCAGACATGTCTGCTAAAGCCTTTGTTCTTTATGAGAGGTCATCTTTGCACATTTTTATGCATTTATGTATTTCACACTTTTTCTTTCTTTCATCCGTTTGCCTACATGGTTAATCCGCTTGTTGTTTAAGCTTTGATGTTTCCTTCTTCAGCGTCGATGTGACAAAGGACCCAGATATCATATTTTCCCAGTGAGCACATTCTGAGCTGCGGTTCTGTTGGTTCTGACGGTCACCTCCCAGGTTTCTCTGTGCAGACCCGAGTGCAGCACTGCATCTGCTCGGTGGCCAGCGACCACTCAGTGGGCCTGCTCAGCCTCAGAGAGAGGAAGTGCATCATGCTGGCGTCGCGACACCTCTTCCCCATCCAGGTCATCAAGTGGCGCCCGGCAGATGACTACCTGGTGGTGGGATGTTCTGATGGTTCCGTCTACGTCTGGCAGATGGATACAGGTGAGGGATCGGGGCGTTTCTCACGCACTGCACGGTGCGGGGGCTCGTCCGACGCCCACACAGTAAAACTTTAGTCATCATTGGCAGTGAATGAGTTAAGGTCAGACGTTTTCCTTCAGGATGTTCTGCTAGAGAGCAGAACTCATGGTTCCATCAGTCACAGCAGGTGCTCCAGGCCCTGAATAGGGCTGCTACAAACCATTATTTGAACAGTCAGCTAGTTGTGGCATAGCTTACTGCACCAGGATGCAGCTGTATCCTGGTGCAGTACATTTTATAAATATATATAAATATATATATATAAATAAATAAATAAATAAATAAATAAATATATATATATATATATATATATATATATATATATATATATATATATATATATATATATATATATATATATACCCTTTATTAGCCACTAGTTTGAAGTGTGATCTGTTCTGTGCCATCTTAAATGTAATGATTTAAATTACGTTATTTAATAAGCCATAAGACGTGGGATGCCATAGGAAATATGAAATCCACCTTACGGATCTGTTGGGTTATTTAAACCAGAAGATTGGATCTTTTTATTGCAGGGATTAGATAACAGCTTCGTATTAATTCAGAGACAACAGAAGAGAGAGAGTCGAGTTTAAAAGTATAAAGATTTATTACTAAACAAATTAAAACTAGACTAACTTTAACACTAAATGTATGGTGTAACTAAGGTGAATGAGACGGAGAATGGTGTAATGTGGAATGTTGCTCAGAACCAGCAAATCCGAAGAAGCGATTAGTTCTGATGGGAAGTGAAGGTGATGTCTTCACGTTAAGCTTTGGTTAGGAGATTCATAAACACATTCAACGCCATTTGTCGGCCTACATACCCTTAGCGGATGTCCCCGTCTAGATCAGGAGGTGTAAAGGTCCAGCTTGACCTTGTGGAGCCGGAGCCTGTAGAAACAGCCGCGGCAGCCGACCACCAGTCTTGAGATACTTCCGGGTCACGACAGTTTATCTGCATCTAACAAGACCCAAACCTGCGTCGTGATGGTTCAGGTTTTATTCTGAAAGGAACCGTTGCAGCAGGTGGAACAGCAACAGGTTTTATCCAGCTTGTCGTTGGTTCTTTCGGCTGAAGAGGAACGTTACGGATCGGCCACTCCGACAACTTCTCTAGAACGCTTTGAACTGGCGTTAAAGATGGCGAGGGCGTAGTTTTATACTTCGGATGTTTTGGTTTACTGTCGAATGAAAAGATGACAGATTTACCAAGCACCACCAAAGCCACGCCTCCGTCAGATCTGGCAAATCAGTAAAGCAATGTGTCATGTCTTAACGCTACATGAGATCAGTCCTAGTGGAAACATTTAAAGTCATATTACTTATTATATTCTATAGGATTATAATAAAGTAATTAATATTTTGATTTCACAGATTGGTCACATCTTATTATTGACTAACACTTTGTTTGATTAGCTTTATTAAAATAGAGTTCTTTGATTTATTAAAAGGAGAGAGTCCATTCTTCATTCTTCTCTTGAGCTGGAAAGAAGCAGGTTAGAAGCAAATGCATGAGACCTTGAGGCCATATCTCATGCAGACTAGTTCTGTGTCAGAGGAGAGGGGAAACAGTCATTTCATTCTGTTGCATAAAAAAACGGCCTTCCAGAACGTTCTGCCTCAGTCTTGTCAGTCTGGAGGATATTTATCCAGAAGCCTTTGGGTTCCTCCGAGTGTATTTTAGTAAACATGAGACAGGTTTTTGTTTTTGGTCAGCAGACGTTCTGGACTGCTGAATCATGACCTTTGACCTGAACCAGGAGATGCCCGTAGGCCTTTAGATGTCGTTCTGGGACAGTATGTGTTGCTTTTTGATCGTTTAGTCTACTTCCTGCTATCAGACAGGCTCTATTAAAGTGAATATTTTTAGTTCTACAGGTCTGGTGGGGATCAGGTCTGGGTGTCACAAGTCACGCTTATCGATAATCTGCTTAATCACAACGATTCCAGATTGGATTGGAGAAATCTGTTCACCTAATAAATGAAAGCATCATGTTGGACTTTCTTTGATGCTAAAATCTGTTTTCTGATCTGAAGTAAGTGACAAAAAAAGCCTTAAGAGGACAAACCTGTGATGGGGCATTGTTGCATCTCCTTAAAGAGCAAGTCACCCCTTATAAGAAGCGTACTCCACTCCCACTTCATGTTTGAAAAATGCAACAAATGCTGTTGCCTAGCAGACTGAGAGGGTGGAGCCACTAACAAATACACACACTCACGACATTGTGACATCATAATGTACCAGTTTACATCATAGCATACCTCTTAGCCAATAGCGGTGGCAGATTAAAATTCAAATGCAGTGCAGAGTTTTTACCTGACAACGGCACAACACTGACAGTTTCAGGCAGAAAATTAAAATTTTAACTAAAATGCACCAAAGTGCAAAACTGTTGACGACACGTGTCTGCATCATGATTAGACACGCATTTATATAGTTTATCAGAAAAAAATAGTTGATTTGGGGGTGACTTGCTCTTTTAAAACACAGACTAAATCTGGAACACGTAAATGGTAAAGTGCCTGTATTTGATACAGCGCCTTCTAGAGTCCTGGAACCCCCCAAGGTGCTTTACAACACAATCAGTCATTCACACATTCACACACTGGTGGGGATGAGCTACAATGTAGCCACATCTGCCCTGGGGCGCTCTGACAGAGGCGAGGCTGCCGAGCACTGGCGCCACCGGTCCCTCCGACCACCACCAGCAGGCAACGTGGGTTAAAGAGCAAGTCACCCCTTACAAGAAGCGTACTTCACTCCCGCTTCATGTTTGAAAAATGCAACAAATGCTGTTGCCTAGCAGACGGAGAGGGTGGAGCCACTACAAATACACACACTCATGACATTGTGACATCATAATCTACCAGTTTACATCATAGCATACCTCTTAGCCAATGGCGATGTCAGATTTAAATTCAAATGCAGTGAAGAGTTTTTACCTGACGACGGCACAACACTGCCAGTTTCAGGCAGAAATTTTAAATTTGAACTAAAATGCACTAAAGTGCAAAACTATTGACTCCACGTGTCTGCAGCACGATTAGACACGCGTTTGTACAGTTTATCAGAAAAAAATAGTTGATTTGGGGGTGACTTGCTCTTTAAGTGTCTTGCCCAAGGACACAACGACAGCGACAGACTGAGCGGGGCTCGAACCTGCAACCTTCCGATTACGGGGCGAGCTCTTAACTCCTGTGCCACCGTCGCCCCGTCGTTTGTATGAATGTTCAGCTGCAGGAGTTAAAGTTCGCTAATTGTTGCTGGAATCGACCTGCGTGTGGATCAGAGAGAGTCGGGTGGGTCAGAAAACGGAGAATTCATCTAGTGTGATGAGGAGGCCGTTACCATGACAACTAAATGTGTTTTAAATGTGTGTGTGTGCGCTGCAGTGCTGGGAGATTGCAGGGTATCTAAGTGTGAAATGAGGTAGGTGTGTGTGTACTCAGGCGTTGGACAGGTAATAGGGCCACGGCGCTCTCTCTCTCTCTCTCTCTCTCTCTCTCTCTCTCTCTCTCTCTCTCTCTCTCGCACGCACGCACGCACGCACGCACGCACGCACGCACGCACACACACACACACACACACACACACACGATTCTCTTCAGAATTGAATACTGACACTCTTGTCTGCAGCTAATCGTGTCTCACTAAACGCCTCTGTCTTTAAGTCCAGACAGAAACGATGAAGGTAGAGACAGAAAAGTCCATCTGTGACCTGAGTGACATCAGGAGACTCGGGATCCTCTCGAGCGTCTAAATCCAGCTCAGTTCTTTACGTTTTCTTTCCGACAGCCCAACGTTCCCGATCACTTTAAAAGTGTTCGTCATTAACAGTTCTTCACGCTTTCTGAACGTCTTTCAGGCTTTATTTTTTTAGACTTTGGTCTTGTTTCTCTGTCGGTGGGTTTATTCGACTGCTTTGTGTTTGCAGGAGCCCTGGATCGCTGCGTGATGGGAATAACCGCCGTGGAGATCCTGAACGCCTGCGATGAGCTCGCCCCAGCCACCGTCGACGCGCTGAGTCACTCCGCGGTGAACCTAAAGCAGGCCATGACCCGCCGCAGCCTGGCCGCCCTGAAGAACATGGCCCAGCACAAACTGCAGACTCTGGCCACCAACCTGCTGGCTGCGGACAACGCCGACAAGGTAACAGCTGGCTGAGGTCCACGGCCAATTAAAAGATTTCTGGAGACGACGGAAAGGTCAGCAGAGAGGCGCGCCGTCTCCCAGGGACGAGCTTCATAAATGTCACAATCAGGAAATAAACGGATAAATAACAACACGCGCGTAACCGAAGGGTTTTAGAACGACCCAACTTTTACTCGTCACCACGTTTGCTGCCTCAGATCTGATGACGACTGTTTGCATGAAGTCCAGCAGCACTGGAACCGTTTCCTAAAGTAGATCCAGATCTGGGATCAGGAGCTCCAGCAGATCAGAACCTGCTCCGGACCGACAGCAGGACCTTCAGGTGTGTGTTCACCTGCAGCTCAGTGAAGAGACCTGTTCTGGTGTGAGAGGCCGCAAAGAAAACCATCAGGGAGCAACTGATGTCTGCTGAAGGTGCAGGGTCGTTTTTGAGTCGCCGTCGACCGTAAAATCGTTCACACGACGGTGGCGAAGGGTCAGCCCAGGGAGGGAACTCTAAAACCTCGCCTTTAGTTTGGTTTCTGAGCGGATATTTCGTCAACACAACCACCAAATTAGCCTGAAACATCCAAACAGATGAGAGTTGAGGCTCCTCATATGGTGGTTCGGTTCTGGTGAAGGACCGTTGGATCAGCTTGGTTCAGCTCAGACTCTCGGGTCAAGGTCGGAGAGCGCGTTTCAGAAGCTCTTCGTGTTTTTAGCTGTTTTTTGTCTCTGAGGATCAGAGCTCCACTCATCAGACTCTGATGGTCTGATCCATCCTGACAGAGAAAGCCCCGCCCACACGAGGGATCCCAGCACTGCAAACAAACGCACTGAATTATTTAGCGTCTGAAGAGCGTTTAGTTCAGCTGTTGCTGCAGTTGGACTTTTCCAGCTCCACTCAGGAAGCCGTTTAACCCGACCCATAACCTTTGTGTCGGTTTTCTTTCATCATCATCTGCTCCAAACGGCCGTAATCGCAGCTTTTATTCTGAAAACACCTGCTATCTTCTCCTCCATTAGATGCACATCAATGTCTTCCTCCCACCCCGGCGTCGTTTCTACCGCGTGCGACCATTATCTGCTGTGTGTGTGTGTTTTCTGTCCCCCGCCGCGTGTAATGATGGATAATGACCGTGAAATGTCAGGCGTTAACGCCAAACGGTTCCACCCAGCCGGCGTCGAGCCGCCGCCCGCTCAGATTTCTGCGTTCGCTGGAGGAAGTTCACGTGCGACTTTGAGTTTGTCCTCTGCTGCTTTCAGCTGAAGGCGCTGATCTGTGAAAGTGTTTCTGTCATGAGACCAAAACAAAAACAAAAGCGATTACACACACACACACACACACACACACACACACACACACACACACACACACACACACACACACACACACAGTGTGTGTGTGTGTGTGGCGTTTGCCTGAAGGGCCCTGCAGGACGATGACCTTTTGATCCACTTCCTGCCAGCTAGAAACTGTCACTCGTCTAAAAGTCAAGAGTTCTTTAAGAAGCTTTTACTTTTTATTAGTTTTGAATCGAAGCCGATTAATAATGGATGTTAGAAGTTTTGAACTTTAGATCTTGTTGCCTTTTCTCGGTGAAATGTCACATTTTATCACTATTATTACGATTATTTTATTACTTTAAAGCTGGAGTCAAATCCCAGTTTATACCAGCTGTTTGGGTTCTGCAAGTCGGTGATGTAAACAAGTCTTCGCTGCCATAAAACCTCGTCCTAAGCAGCGGTTTCCCAAGTCGGTGTTGGGACCCCACTGGGTCACCAAGAGCTACTCGGGGGATCTTGAGATGGTTTCCAGAAACAAAACAACAGCTGAAGCTTTAATTCTTTGCATAATTGTTACTAAACCTCAACCATAAATGAGTGAAGATGAGCTGAAGGAGTTTCCTTTTTGTTATGAACAGTTGATTTTATAAACAGGTGTTGTGAAATCAGGTGTGTTGACAGTTTAGTGGGGTTAAAGCTGAAACGTTGGGAACCACTGGTCTAAAGGACGTTTCAGGGGAAATAAAACAAATCTGACCTTTATTTTGTAAAGAATGTGACATGATTAAGGTGGATTTGCAAATGAGCTTTAAAAAACTAAACGGTTGTTAATGTTTTAATATTAATGCAAAATTACCTGTCTGTGTGTGTGTGTGTGTGTGTGTGTGTGTGTGTGTGTGTGTGTGTGTGTGTGTTGTGTGGCTGTTTGCCTCTAGATGGCGGTGCTTCTCCATCAAAATCATTCACTCTGGAAATCAGATCAGAAGCACAAATGTTTTGTTAGAGAAAAGAAAAAAGAGAAAACTTGTTTGTATTATCAGAACAAAACGATAGTTTTAGCAGCTGACAAACAATTTTTACCTGATTTTAGTTTTCCACCAGACGCAGGAATAAATACTTATTTACACAGAACGTAAACCACAGAAAACAAATTGTAGTAGAAATGTTTACTTCCTTGCGGCTGTTACATAATCACACACACACACACACACACACACACACACACACACACACACACACACACACACACACACACACACACACACACACACACACACACACACACACACACACACACACACACACACACACACACACACACACACACACACACACACACACACACACACACACACACACACACCCCCAAAGCTCAGCCTCCTATGGTCCTATCCAGTCGAAGACGGGAGTTTATATATTCCTAGCAGCTAAACTTCCTCCACAGCCTCCTCTAACGCTAACATCTAACATCTGATTACAGAGCAACCTTCAGAGAGGTTTTGGCTTATATGGTTGTGAGAATATCTCACTGGTTTTATTATTGGCTATATTCCTAATATTACTGGGGTGGTGCATCTGCTTTAATCATAACTTGTTTTTATTTACACCTGTTTGTTGTGCATGGAGAGGAAAACGTAAGCTGACTGCTTCGGCGTCGGACGTGAAAGGTTTTGGTCTGGTTTTTGCAGACTGTGGAAATCAATAAAAATATTGTTGGGATGAAAATCTAAACAAAAACACTGAACCGGTTCATACAACGAATAGGAAAGTAAACAACATCTTGGTTTCATTTTCACATCAGCGTCTTCTCCTGTCTATTCTCCCCATACTTTACTTGTTTCATTTGTCTCCAACTTGTCGGTTCTCGCATAATCTGGTTCAAATCAACAGTGTTCCAGAAGACACGTTTTGAGGGAAATTCTTCTGTTGAACTTGCTTAAAGGTGCATTATGTAAGTTTGACAGCCAAAACATGTATAGAAATAATAAATGTCTTCTTCATACATTCTCCTGCAATGCCCTGGTCCTGTAGAATGAGCCCTGGCATTTTTACTGTGATTGCCTGTTTTTCTGTAAAATCACAGAAAAAGAGAGATGCTCGGGTCGAGCAGGCTGCTTCATGCGCGTTCACGCTCAGGCATAGCCCGTAGCATTTGCTATCCGTAGCTTTAGCAGCAGAGAGAGAGGCAGTGCCACTTTGTCGCTGTTCCTAACGCCTAGTGACAAAGCTAGCTACATTTCTGAGGACCCTTAGCTACTTTCTGTAGAACTTTCTTCTAGATATTTCCTGCAAATTAGCAGCAAAATAGCCATTTTCACTCCGAACCGTTCTTTGGTTTGACGTTGTTTCAGCTGTCATCAAGGATATAAATGTTACAGATGCTGTGAATGTTACTAGAGTGTAGCTCACCTAGTAAGATGTCTGACTCTCATGCAGAAGACCTGGGTTTGATTCTGGATGTGAACATAGTTTATTTAGAGTTTCTTTTTTACATTAATGGTATATTTTTTTACAGTAAGATGCCCAAATTTTTTATTTGAGACTCGCCGAACAGCGTTGAATTCACAGATAAAAAAGATGTGGGTTCAACTTTCATTTTGGAGCAATTTTTCAAGCAAGGGAAGGGAATGATCTGAGCATGCAGGAGGTCTGACCCATCATAAACCTTTGTCGGCTGTGCTGAAGAGAAAGGTACAGAACCACATTATTTAATTAATTAGCTGCTCGTTCTCCTGTCCTCCGGGCCACACACACACACACACACACACACACACACACACACACACACACACACACACACACACACACACACACACACACACACACACACACACACACACACACACACACACACACACACACACACACACACACACGGGACTGTCTCAGCTGTTATTTTCATTAAGGAGTGTGCACGTACAGCATGCGCGCCTCGTGCACAAGCCTCCTATTGAAGGGGGCAATCGCGAGCATAAAAATTAAAAAGTCCGTAAAGTCCCTTTAATGGAGACCCTGCGAGAAATCCGAAAACCCCTCAAAAATGTTTCGAATGCCCTTAGAAAATCCCCAGTAGCAATTTGTTAGCGACGCGCTCAGCCTTTTTCGGCTCGAGGCGACCTCGCTGACTTCAGGAGCCGCGCTCGGGTGGAAATCACTAAGTAAACGAGCTTGATTAAAGCGGATAAAAGAAGTGTTAGAAGGAAATGAGACAGTTTGTTTGGACTTTCTGGGAAAAGCCTGAAACGCGTATGCTACGTTTGTTAGCAAACGCTTGTGTCCTAAACAGCTTAGTGGATGTAGGAGTCAGTGGGAGAGAACGCAGCACCCAGAGAAAAGCCACACATGCATGAGAACGTTTCCACCCAGAAAGACCGGTCGGGATTCAAACCGGCCACTTTCCTGCTGCGAGGCCACCCAGCATTGATGATCGAGTTTGAAAACGTTTTAAAATTTTTGTCTCGTTTAGGGTAACTTGCCCAAATACTCCCACAATGCACTGGTGGTCCAGGCGATGAAGACCAATCTGACAGACCCCGACATGCACGTGCTGTTCTTTGACGTGGAGGCCTTGATCATCCAGCTCCTGACGGAGGAGGCGCAGCGCCCGAACCCCATGCTGGTGTCTCCGGAGACCCTCCAGAAGAGCCAGGCTGGGGCCGACAAGGGGGGGTCGTTCCTGGCCAACAAGATCTTCAAGCAGGTCTGGAAACATCTCTCCTCTCTACAAGAATCAATCAATGAAAGGTGAACCCAAACTCTTTAAAACCAGGTGAAAGAGACCATGAAGGAGACCATCAAGGAGCACCTGCTGGATGAAGATGAGGAGGAGGAGGAGGAGATGAGGAGGCGGGAGGAGAAGTCCAAGTCTCTGAGTCTGCTGGAGTACAACCTGACCATGGACACAGCCAAGCTCTTTATGTCCTGCCTACACGCCTGGGGACTCAACGAGCAGTTGGACAGCATCTGTCTGGAGCGACTGGGCATGCTCAGACCTCACTGTCCCATCTCCTTCGGCCTGATCTCCAGAGGAGGCCACATGTCCCTCATGCTGCCCACCTTCAAGGTACCCGTCGACTCAAAGCTTCTGGTGCTTGGTGGGAATGAAGCTAAACCTCTCTCTTTTTCCCAGGAGTCTTTGCTGCGACAGTTGTCTCAGGCAACAGGGCGGAGACTCGCTTTATCCGACATCGTGGGGAAGGGGACCTACGGCGTCTCGAGGGCCGTCACCACGCAGCATCTCCTGTCAGCCATCTCTCTGTCCAACACGCTGATGGGCATGACCAACGCCACCTTCGTCGGAGAGCACATGAAGAAAGCGCCGGCCAGGTAAAGATTTTGGGTTAAGATCATCGTAGTTTAAAAAAGGAAGGAGTTATCGTTTCTTTGGTCAAAACTCGAAAGTAAAGGCATGACTCCCACCTGCAGCCTGATCAAAACCGCGTGCATCATCGGCAAAACCGGGCTGACCTGCTTGATTATGGAGGAATAAAATCTAAATCATGATTATTAACGATTACCGAGTTGGGAAACGCCACATTTACTTCTCTCTTCTGACAAAAACGCCCTGGGACCACCGTAGTGTGTCCTATCAAAATAAGGGCACCGGCCCAAAATACCACAATAAATGATGCAATAAAAATAGCTCTGTACACATGTGTCATTAATGAATCAAGAATTGTGTTGTGAAGTAACTCAAAATGTTGAGAAAAAGTTGGTACTTCCAAAATAAAAGCTCAAATGTCAAAATAAAGTTGGATACATCTGGACGTGTTTTTATAGAGTAAATTATAAATATTTGGACATTTCATTGTTGGCTACTTCTGTAGCAGCATCAACAGAGGAACTTCCTTTAATCCTTCACAGTAAGAGTTTCAAACGTAAACACATAACTTATCACTTCTGAAGCTTCTAAAATGTTTATTAATCCTATTTTCACTTGAGTTTCATCAGACGACAGGATTAATAAGCTATTTTATAAGCTTGCAATGCTCAGAGGCATGTGTGTGTTTTAGACTCTTATTGTGAAGGATTTTTTTTATTAGGACTTGTCTTGACACTTTGACTTTAATTTAGACTTTTAATTTCCTCTCTAATTTTCCCCTCTTACTCTGCATTCATAATTCTTGGTTAGTGTCAAAATTAAAATACAAATTATTTGCAAATCTCTGAAATTGTCATATTTGATTTTGGGCTTTGTAATGTGGCTGCCATCTTGGATTGGATTGACAAATTAAAGGAGAAACATGTAAGAATTTTACAGTGAAATCATCACAAATCATGTTGGAAGAAAGGTTACGTGGAAACAAATTTCCTTCCCAGCCAGATGGGTGGTTGTCAGTTTTTCTCCTTTCGAAAAAGAGCCGAAGAGGGACGTAGCTACTGTTTACAATTGTTGAGTCTGTGGGGTGGCCAAGTCTGCGACGAGTCAGCGCTACAGTGTTGGCATTTGTAGTGTTTTTTTTTTTTTTTTCAAAGATCCAAAGCCAGTAACAGGAACGACCCAGAAGGTATTTTATGTACCCATAAGAAGCCACGACATCTTTTTTGTTTTATGGGCTCGACACACGGGAGGCGACATCGCCTC